ACCAGGAAAATAAACTCTCTCATCATTATTTCACTACTTTTTACCTAAAAAAACAATGGCCTATTGTCTTGATTCAACCTATTGTTCTGTTACATTTTTTGTTATTGAACGCACCAACAGGCAGTCAGTAAGAGTTTCCTGAGGAGCAGCAGCTTGAAAAGCTTGATGCTGCATTGCATCCTGTGCCTAAGGCTTGTTTTGCTGCAGATTTAGGAAAAACCAGACAAGGTAAGTTACTGAGGTAAATTAAAGCACATGGTTTAGGATTTAGCTTGTTTGAATACTCCCCTCAAACGGAAAACACATTCCAGTTTTACAAGTATGGTGGTTAAAACCTGCAAAACAAAGCAGAACAAAGCTCTGCCCTGTTGCATCCTTGCTTGATGGACATTCCTCTGTTGTTACTGGGCATTGTGTGCTGCCAGGACAAGGAAAAACTCCAAGTCAGGAGCCAGCACAGCAGGAGGCTTCATTAGCCAGGAATGGGAGCAAAACAGGGCTTCAGAAGGAGCAGTGCCCTTGCTGAACAACCCGCTTCACCACAACAAGCACATGATCAGCTGGACAGCGTGTAACTTGGATAAAAAGAGACCTATGGATGTGATACAGCTATGGCTTAAGGGTTTCAGAAGATCTTTGCCCAACAAGGAAACAAATTATGTATTAAAAACCTTTTACAAAATACATGCTCTGTTCTTTCTCTGCTTAATATCTTCCTTGCTTGAAGCTTGGCTGTTGCCCAAAACGCATCCAGAGCAACGCTTGATGATAACTCAAAAATGTGCAGTTAATCTGTGTGTAGTTTCAGCTCCTGAATGCCAGGAGCGAAAGTGTATTTTTCAGAGAGAAATAGGCTTGATCACACAGTAGAATCACGTTTACGCAAATTTTTAAATGGCCACGATAAAGGAAATATTTCTGTAAACTTCTTTGAGAAAAGATGAAAACTCTTAAGGTAAAAAATTTGCCTTTTTCAGTGTCATTTTATCCACAAACAAGTATAAACCTCAGTAGAGAGCTTCCTGCGCTACAGTGAGAAAAAACTTTAGCTTGCTTTTTTTTATCTTTTTATTTTTTTTTTTAACCTTAGAGCTATATTTCATCATAAAAACTAGTTTGAAGAAAGAGTAAACTTTTGCTCTTTGGTCTATCTTGACATTTCTCCAGAGACACATAACAGAAATATTTCAGATTCATTTTTGTCTCCTACTTGCAGGAAACAGGAAAGTTGCAGTTCTTAATTTCCAGGCTTCTGAAATGAGAAAGATAAAGAATTCATATGTTGAAACAAGGCATCTTTGCTTTCTTTAAAGAAAAAAAAAAAAGCATACAACCTAAAAGCAGTATTTTGGTGAAATTGGATATTTCTGCCTTAACCATAACTGAACATTTTTTTTATTATGCCACATCCACCTCCTATGTATTATCTGTGTAACCCGACTAGGTGAGAAACAAAAATCTGTACTTATATTCCAGTATGATATGGACTTTAGACTGTACATTATTGTAGTAATTGCTGCTGACTGAAACCCATACTGTGGAATGAGACTAAAATATGTAATTTTTTGTTTCATAGGATCAATTTTGAGGATACAAAGGAAAGGTCTTCAAACACCTTCTACCCACATCTGAATGGATTAAGATGATAACATCTAACAAATATTTTGCAATTTTAGGACACCAGGTTTGGTGCCCTCCCCTCATGGACTTCTTTGTGACTGTGAAGATGCCCACAGCCAGAGCTCTGGGATTCCTCCTGCACTCAGAAAAGCTCTGAGGGTGGTAAAATACCTGTGCTGTGTATTACAATCATTCTGATGCTCTGCCAGTTTTGAAGAGGAGGTGAGTGCAAGAATATTTCTGCAACTGTGGACAGCCATGACCTTAGTAAGTCACAACCAACCGAGGAAAACAACCTGCCCCCATCAACCCAGACTCCCGAATCCAAACCGGCACAGTAAGAGCAGGCACCGGCTGCTGCTGATTAAATTAGAAGGATCCTGATCGCTCACAAGGGTCCTTCACAGCCTTCACTTTTGCAGAGTGCGTCAGGTTCATAAATTCCCCTCACTGCAAATAATAGCTCTTTTAAAAAAATATATTTCTTTCTACTGGTAGACTTGTCTCAATGTAAGTCTTGTGACTGGTGCTATCTACAGACAGCTCCTAAGGAAATAATTTCCATTTTCTTAGTGTATGAGCTGGGCAGTATAAGTTAAATAGGGTAGTGGCCAGTGATGAAGAACCAGCCAGAGTCCTTTGGGTTCATTTCCAGATATTAACGTTTCAGTTTTTTAATAGAGCATGTTGCTCCTACAGAGAGATTGTAATATTGTGTGCTGCACGTTTTAGCTATTTATCAACAGAAAAAAAACAGAGTGGACTTCTTTTTTTGACAAAGTTTTTGCTTGTATGAATTTTTGGAGTATATTCTAATGACCAGTATTCCGCAAATTTTTGTGAGAGCTATCATCTGCTTCATTAATGCAGAGAAGTGGTGGAGAAAAATCAGAGAGGCTAATGGCATCCAATGTTTCAGCTCAGTAAGAGCCCAAACAGCTGCCCTTGCAGCAGGGACTTTTGTCTGTATCTCCTTCACGAGTCTCATGAAGCTACGCATTACAGAGGAGGATATAAACCGCACACTAAACCAACTGTTCTCAGCTCTGCACGCATGTTTATAATGAAATATCTGCAGCTCTTCCACTAATCTCTAAATATTTTTCAATTACCACATCTTAAAGATTTGAATCAGTGCTAACGAGCTGCCACAATATCATATTACTAGAAATTTTACATTGTACACTAAAACGCTAAGAAAATAATCCAAACCAAGTGGAAAAAAAGAGTCCCTTGGTCTGCCATCATAGAAACAAACCCACAAATACCTCAAAGCAGAGTATCAGCTACATCATAGGTTCACTTCAGCGAATGTGTGAAAGCAAGGAATAATACTAAACTTCTCTACAGAAAAATAGGATTAAAGATTACAAGGGAATATTGTCTCTCTCTTTATCCAAAATGAGAAATGTACAAATCTAGCACACAAACTGGATTAATCTTAGAGCTGATGAACACTGACTACCTTGTGTGGTGCTCACTGGATATTACAATGCTCTCAAGGCATTTACTTAGATCGCTAAAGGTAGGAACACAGGTGAGCATGTGCCTATATTGATGAAAAATACATATGATCAAGCTGGTTTTTTTCCTTAAAAGGCTTAAACTTATGGAATCATTCATCTATCTGACACCAACACTACCTCCATAATGAAATTAAAATAATTTATTAACAGTTGGATGTATACACTATTTCCTACCTGACTATTATGTTTTTGTGAGTTTGTTAGCATTTATTTTACATCTGATAAAATGCCATCACTGACTAAAAGACAAGTTTAACATTTTAATTTCATGCACAACATCAAATGAAAGAACTTCACAGCTGGAATGGAGTACTTTATCCGCTTAATTACTGTCGCTCTTCAAAACTCACTGATCCATGGTTTCGATAGATTTGCGTAAGACTAGGCAGTAAATACCTGATTAAGCAGACCATGCGACTCTGCATATAGATTTTACATTAGGATTCTACAATCATTTGAAATGATTCAGAAATAATTGTATGACTGACACATGATGAATCAGTATGTATGCATGAAGCCATCAGACATATAAAGCATATCAGTAACAAAAATGGGATATATGCCAAGAAGTATGCATAACACTACCCAGCAACAGAATAGTCAGTGATGGTTTGCATATAAGCTAGTAATGACCTGTCCATGCCGGTTAAATTTCAAGCTAACTGCTTTTTACTTGTCTTGACTGGTACATGCAAAACGTCAGAATCTGCTCTCACCAGATGTTATGTAGATGCTGTGACACTCAAGTAAGGGCGAGTGTAATCTTGTTGGCCTGAACAGTAATCTTGTTGGGTTGTGCAAACCTCTCCCCTCCTCCAAACAATCCATCAAAACACAGAAACAGAAACTGAAAGCCAGTTCGCTCAAACCAGAGTAGGCAAGGAATGCTGGAGCAGGGCTGAAGCACCTGGGCGCATCCACCTCAAAGCTGTGGCTGACCTGGGGTCTCATCACAGTCCTGTGAGCTCATAGTAATATTGGTGTTCTGAGTAAAAATAAACATTTTACCCTCCAGATGGATTTACTGGGGGAAAGGAGAGGGTTAAGTGATGAGAGGAGTGAGTCCCATCACAGACCGGCATGGTTTGTTTTGGTTGGGGTTGTATCCTCTCTTACTCCATTTATGTTACAGGGTTAAAGTGGAGTAGCATGGAATATTTTCATAACAATTTGAATTTTTAAGTGAGGAACATGTGCTACAGAAAATCAAAGCAGGACACCAAGAAGATTAAGTGCTTAGAGAAGGGGAGGAGGTGGCAGGGGAACTGCAGCCTCCAAGGAAAAGGGAGAGAACCCAGCATGAAAAACAGACAGGCTAAGAGGACAGATTTGTGTTCCTGAAATGCTTGTTACCTTTTGAGAGAGATGACAGCAATCAGGAAAAAAAAAAAAAAACAAACCAAAGTAAAGCTCATGAACAAACAGAAACATCTCCCCTGATACCTAGGTAATGACAGAAACACACTGCCACATGAGAGCAGTATCAAAGATGAACTAGATTATTTCTTTTGAGGTGAGTAACATGACATGTTTTCTTCATACCGACTTTTTCCATAGCCAGGTACAATTGCAGAGCCAGCTCCTCGTGCTGAACTGAGAGCCAGGAAATCCAAAAGGCACCTTCAATGTGCACCATCAGTGTAGCGCTGGCCACCATTCAGCAAACGAGAAACCCATGTGATGAAGCGCACATTATGAAACATTCCCCTAAACTGTGTGAAGTCCTCAATGAAACTAGGGCCTAGATAAACTCCTGACAACCTTTTTTGATACACATATTAGAGACAAACACCTTCCTCCAAGCTGGAACAGGAAAATAAAGGCTGCTGACCGACCTGAATTTGGAGGTCACTCTCAAAACAATCCTTTCACTTCCTCCGTGACAGGGTCAAGGTCAATGTCATAGAAGCATGGCCTCGTGGGCAGTCCTGGCATGGTGCTCATCTGTGGGAACAATAAAGTTCAATAAGTAACAATAAGTTCACTCTTGCACCTGAAAGCAGATAATCACTCTGACCATGTAAACCTTAGATTAAGAGAAAGGCTGGATTGTTCATCATGGACCGAACTGCAGATGTGATCTTCACCACATTCTTTTGTTTCGGTTAAAAATGTCAAGCTTGGTACTTTTTCAATTCATTTTTAAGTGTACACTGCTAAAAGACAGGGAAGAGAAAATAAAAGCCACAAAATACAGGCTAGCACAGCAACCTAAGAATAAGCTCCTTAAAAAAAAAATGAAGACACTTTGGGACTTATTTGTTCCTCAGAACATTTATCCATTTATATCTACTGGGAAAAATCACACAGCAAAGGGCAAGGACATAATTACCTGCATTCAACTGGTGCTATGAATGTGTTGAACTCAGACCTCTCCCACAGAAAACCAGAATACAGGAGCAGAATTAATCCCAACACTTTCATGACGGGTTATTTAATGTAAGGAACAGATTGAAGTAGTTCAACCAAACATTACAGTTTGGATTACAGTTGAATCCTCATTTAGTAGGTAGAATTAGCAGGTTGAGATATAAAGCTAAAACAACCCATTATCTCAAACTACGCATAATTAAGATCCTGATGTAGCATAAGACACCACTATCTGCATACTTTTAGACGTAAATAATTTCATCAACTCAAATGACACAGTTAACTACAGCTCTGCTCACGCTACTTACACTATTATTTACCATTGTAATTTTAGCAGCAATTAAAGAAATGTGGGTCATGTGGAAATCGTGAGGTGCTGCTCCACAATAGCTTAAGCCACTTTAAATCAGAGGTACCCCAGCTTCTCACCTCACCTGCCTCAGGACTCCCCCCTTCTCCCTTGTGAAGGAGATGTCTGGAGAGCAGGGTCAGCAGAATAATGCTATTTTTTGGTCTACTTCATCTTTTCCTTGTCAGCACTTGAGCCAGGAGAGGCTTCCTTGGCCCCAGGGCCAGCACTGACACAGGCTGTGACTGTGGGGGAGTTTCAAAGCAGGACCAGTTTGGATCAATCTGAACCACTTTGGATTTGCACCCTAAGTCTTCCTAAGATGACAACTAGAAGCCCTGAATATCTCAACATATTTCCACTAATTCAAGGCACTCTAAAAATAGCATTGGGACTCCATAAACCCTTTTGTTATCTTAACCTCAGAGGTGGAGGATGGCCCAGCTGTATGAGGCCCTACGTTAATACCCAAAGAGATGAAAAACATCACAATCTCCGGAAACAAACCTCAAATTCAACTTAGCTCAACTGCTTGTTGTCTAAGAGCTTTTAAGCATTGAAACTTATTTAATAGAAGCTAGATTTTGAGGAACAAAATTTTAGCTGAGGCAGGTCAGCAGAGCTTGTTGAAGTTGGTGGCTAATCTGACCCCAGGAGGTAACCTTCAAATACGGTTCTGTAGGGAAGAAAAAAATCACACTGGCTTGAGTATCAGAACACTCCAAACACAATAACCTAAGGAAAGGGCCAGCTTATGTTACTTTTTCATGATGTAAGCTGAAACCCATTGCTGAAAGGGGACAATTTCACCCTGTGAGCCCCTGGGACAATTCTCCCTCAGAGCTGGCTCTGACACTCATCTTACTGCAACCAACTTCAACACACTGAACTGATGAAAATACACATTTTTGTGGCCAGGGTTGGTCAGCTGATGAATTAAATCTGCTTAATGCATGAGCAGCTCGCCACCAGACCACTGGCTGCAGAGGAGCAGGCAGAGCACGCCGTGGCCAGCCATCGCCTCCCAGCAGCGAGCACAGAGCCGAGCAACTTCCTCCCTAATTGCCCAAGTTGCGCAGCTCAGCTACGGTGTTTTCTCTGGCCAAAGGCAAGTTCTAACAGGCTAATTGGCCTCAAAAGAGGAAAAATACATGCCCACCATCCAAGCTCCACAAGAGAGACAGATTTACAGGGCCCCCTCGGGCTGGAGCAGGCTGTATTTCTTTGTAAGTCAACCTGTTCTGCTGCATATTCAGTGACTGAGTTGGCATCTCCCTTACGCTTTAGCTTTGCTCCAAACACTTGTGTAATGTTTCCATCGTGGGAATGCAAGCAAACTGTAAGATTTTACTATCACAGTCCCATTGACTCCAGAGATCTCTGCTGCCATTTCAGAGGTTAATCCTACATTGGGAAGGGGGAAAGGAGCTTGGGGAGCTCAGTACTGGTACAGCATCATCTCACTTGAGATCCAGCTCTGAGAAAAAACAATGCAACAAGCTCTTCTAGTAGACTCAGTACATTTCCTCTGTTTTTAAATATAGTCCTTCCTGATCTTTTGTTGTTGCATGCAGTAGAATAAAAGACAAAACTGTCAGTTTGCATTGACCAAAGCCTGCCATTGACAGCATGACATCATTTTATTGGCTGACGTTGTCTTGGCATCTTAGCCAAGTACTAAAACACCTTGTTACCATTCTTCATCCATTGGTCACACTAGTTGGAGTACATCATGTGGGTTACTGAATTATTTTCTGTCTCAGATTCATCCCAGTTTCTGAGTTAATGCTTGACAAGAAACTGCCTTAATGAATTACATATCACTGGGAGGGGAACAAACAAATTGCCAAAGACAACTTTCTGGTTAGTACCACTGGGAGGGGAACGAACAAATTGCCAAAGACAACTTTCTGGTTACTTTGTTTATGGCAGTTCTGCATCTGAAAGTAAACTCCCAAATTCCAGGCCCTCCCCCTCCCCCCACTTTTTTTAATATATCTACAAGCTTGGCCAGTCTCCATTTTCCCTGTATAATAAAAACAATAGCCAGTTTAGGGGAGTTTTTCCTTAATCTTTTTTAAAATAAATATTTTTTTTTAAAAAGTCCTACATGTGTGGTTTGTGTTTTTTTCATAGGCCCACTTCTACACCAGTGTAACTTCACTCTGTAAACTAATGGAAATCTATTACACCTATGAAATGTGAATATCAGAACAGTTTATTGCCGGTTCAGGGAATACAACTATTCTCATATTGAAAATTTAAGTCAACAAAAGGGAATGAGTTCATCTGAATTAAAATTACTGCTGTGTAAAATTAAGTACAAGACAAAAATACCACAGAGGAAACACTTTTTGGGACAAATACCTATGTGAATTACAGAGTTAAAATAAAACACGTCCTGTAATTTTCCCCATGGCCCAGACTTCCAAACAGGCAAGGCCATGTAGATTTACGATCGTTTCTCTCTGTTCTCGTTATTTGGACACACAGAAGTAACATGCAGCAGAATCTACCCCTTTTTCACTATTTCAAGGTCAATAGGAGGAGACGGCTGGCTGGTGGAGGAGATTACTGCTGACTATTCCCTCTCCAGCCCTCCACTCCTTTCCTGCGGCCAAAACTGCAACAGAGAAAAAAGGGCTCAGTCAGCTGCAAGGCTGAATCGAGGCTTCAGCTGACTGGCTGTCCACATGGTTGTGGGCTCAGAATGATCCTCTTTCGCTGTCGTCCACGATGCTGAATGAAGGCATTAATGTGCCAGTTCACAGGCTGGCCTTAACCCTGGCAGGCATGACCCTCTTCCCTGCCCTAAGTAACCACAGCCTAGATTTTTGTGGATGGGGGAACGCTAACCTGCCCCATGGCTGCAGCACACACCGTACCTGCACAGCAGCTGGCAGGCTACCTCCTCCTCTCCAAGGCTTTCTGAGGTAGATACGTACTAAAATTACTTCATTTCTAAAACTTTAAAAAAAGGAGAACGAACAATGAAAGAGAAAGTATGCCTAAAACATAAATCACTTTGGTAATTAGCAGGTACATACAGCATGAAAAAAGCCACAGAAATTTACAGTCATACAGCAGCTTGCTAGGCATCTCACGCAATATACACCCTCTATATATTGCATGGAGATTAGCACAACTCTCCACTCTAATATAACAACATTTGGGTTATAGATTGGTAGCTATGCAACATCAAGCATCATGGCTATGAGAAAAGAGCAGGGTGAGAAAAAGTGAATGACAACACACTATCCACTTAAGACCACAACTGAAATTTAGTTAGCCAAAATAATCAGTACTTCATTTGACCAAAATTGTTACTGTCACACTTCCCCTTGGAGAAGGAATATATAAGGCACAAACTTTGCACCCTAAGACTTAATGCAATTCAGATAAATGCCTTATACAGGGGAAAAAAAAATTTCATGAAGAATTCATCCAGATGCTGCCCAAAACACATAATTTAGGAATTAATAGGAACTAGTTTTGTAGGAACTCACTGGAATCAACCATTTTCTTCACAGACCGTGCAATTGTCTACAGAGAGCCAATCAACTACAGACGTGAAAAATACAATGCCTATTTATTACCAGGGCACCTTATGTTTAGGAGGCAAAAGCAGCAAGTCTTACAGTCAGCTATCCTGAGGATCATTTATACTCCTGGAAATGCACAACTAGTGGAAGATGACAGACAATTTTAGTTAAGAAAGCCTGAAGGCTACTGTTATTTATACTAGGCATTTATCATCTCCCAGTTTACTTACATGACTAAACAAAAAAAAACATAAGGAAAAAAACCAAAACGTAATGAGCTTCCTTAAAAAAGGAGGATATAAGTTATTTCTAAGGAAGCCCTATGAAAGTGCTGTTCCATGCCCTCTTCAAGAATGCATCCACTGTCACTGGAAGAGTGACTAAATTGAGCTTCACTGGAGTTGAATTTAAATTACAGTTATATGTTCCCTCATAATTTTAATTGACCATAAGGTCTACGTAGTATTTGCACAGTCAAGCCCTAAGTCTCTGCTTGCCATGTCTGTTACAGTCCCAAGAGGAACTATGCTGCTTAGCATCCTTTTTTATCACACAAATGCCTCTCAGTGTTTGACATATCCTGCCTTTTACTCCAAATGTGTATCCATCCATCCATATCTCTATTTTTTTCCATTTATCTATATGAAAAATCCTAATAAGACCTGAGATCACCTTAACTGGGT